CGGGATAGAGGATGGGAGGGAGGGAGTGGATCGGGAGAGAGGAGAGGTAGAGGGGGAGGGGAAGCAGGGTGGAGGGGGATGATGGAGGGAAGATAGTAAGTTGGAGGGGGGTGGAAGAAAGAGGTGTACGGAGAGTGGAAGAGGTATATTGGGTTTCTATTTTTTGGGCTATTGTTGACAAGAGGAATTGCTGCAATGATTGTTTAATGTTGTATGGCTCTGGCTATGCACAGTATATATGTGAGTGGATGAAAATGAAAAAATGGAAAATGAAAACCTTTTGACTTAGTACCAAGATTAGGGCTACTTTTAAGATTGTTAAGCGAAGCAAAAAGAGAGTAGAAAAATGTGCAAACTTAACTCGAAATAAATCTATGTCACCATTCCCTTGCTGTACTCTTTCAGATCCATATGCTCACGTTTCATTCCTTCATCGAAGCAAAACAACTGAGATTATCCATTCAACACTGAACCCAACCTGGGATCAAACTATTATATTTGATGAAATTGAAATTTACGGTGATCCGCAAACGGTAGCACAAAATCCTCCTCAGGTGGTTGTTGACCTTTTTGACAACGACCAAGTGGTAGGTACCATACCAAACGTTTAGATCTCATTTTAGTTTAGTTTAGATGTCAGATACAGGATCATTTTTGGTATTTGTGATTCCAGGGCAAAGACGAATTTCTTGGAAGAACCTCTTGCTCTCCAATGGTAAAATTGAACCCAGATATTGATATCAATCCAAAACTTCTTTGGTACCCAGTTAAGAATGGAGGCAAGGCTTGTGGAGATGTTCTTTTAGCTGCTGAGCTTATACTGAATGAAAAGGTAATAAAAAAAAACAACAAATTAACTTATTTTGGACTTTCCAAAATATCGATGAGATAATATCCATGTTTGGCCTCACGATAAATTATAGAAACGTGTATCTTTAAACAGGGTGGCACCAATCTTCCAATTCTTCCGTCTCAACGCGCACCAAATCTATATATGGTACCGCAAGGAATTAGACCTGTTGTGCAACTTACTGCAATTGAGGTATTTTGGTTATTGCTTATTTGTTATCCGAAGTGACATGTTAATAAGGCATTTGGGCATGCTTGCTTACACAAGGCCAAGTGCTAGCATGAAATTTTAGTATGCTTTTAATGTGTAATAAACATCTCCCATCAATTGTTTAGGCAACTATTCCCCCCTCCCACCGCCCAAATCTGGATGGTGTTTTATTTTCGTTATGCAATGTTCATCCAATGTCAGATGTGATGCCGTTATTGAAAGCTTTCATGATAAATTCAGAAATCCTTAATTCACATCCATCCTGAACTTGATCTCAAATTAACAATTATATCTGCCTTGCATCTAAGGGCTATCGTGGGCATCCAAGAACCGCCTAGGTGAATTAAAGCACTTTCATATTTATGGAAATGCCGAATATTATGAAATGAATATTATGAAATGTACTTGGCTTTATGAATAAAGTAGCATTACATCCACGAGAATAGGTTATCCTGGGAAACATTATAAACATCCTGGAAAAAAAGATAATGGCAAAACAAATTCATGCCAAAAAAAAACCCCTTCATTGCTAAATCCATGAAGTCCGCAGGGGTCAAGATGAAAAATGAAGGGCAAAATGAAATGTGATTTAAAATATTCATTTATTTTTAAGTAATTAAATTGAATTGTTAAATTGTCCCATGGTGACACGGTGTCCTGTGGCAAGTTGGCCATGGCAAGTTGGCCGCAGCGAGTTGGCCACAGGAAGTTGTCCCCTTCCAGCCCCCCTTTCTTTTATTTTTATTTTTAATTTTTTTTACATTAATTTTGCAGCAAATTATGTTTCTATTCATAATGTGATTATTTTGGGGGTCTGTTGCTTTATTTGTTTCAATAGATCCTTGCCTGGGGATTACGGAACATGAAAAACTATCAAATGGCTTCTGTGACTTCTCCCAGTCTCATTATAGAATGTGGAGGGGTAATGGTAGAATCTGTCGTCATCAAAAACTTAAAGAAGACGCCTAATTTCCCCGGATCTGTTCTCTTCATGAAAGTGGTATGATACTGCAAAGACTTCATAGCAAAGATGTATAGCACATCCTGACTACATGTTGATCGTTTAAAAAAATAGAACCGGTATATGTGTTGATGCATATATTTAATTTGTAAACTATTCAGAGCAAAAATTTAAGCATTGTAAATGAATCCTATTTTTAAGTTTGCATACAGCTTCAGTTGTAGTATGGTTATATAGCAATAGCAATAGCAGTTAGACTTATATACCGCTTCATAGGGCTTTCAGCCCCCTCTAAGCGGTTTACA